TTTTTAGTAGTATAGTATAGAAAGATAGAAAGATACTAAAACTATTTTAAAATTATTACTTCTAAATATATAGAAGGCTTATAGTATATATAATCTTATAATATATAACTTTATATAGCTAGATTATTAATATATATATATAGTTAGAGAAGAAAACTCTAAGAAGAAGTTTTTCTAACTTCTATCTCTTATTACGCTACACCTAGAAGAGCTAGCGCTATAGAAGTTTTCGAGAAACCTTTATTATATTATAAATACTATATACTATAAGTTTTATAGAATATTATAGAGATATAATAGTACTTACTAGAAGTAAACTAGATTTTTTCTTAAAAGTTAGTTAAATATATATAGCTTTTTAATTATATAATATATCTTAGTATAACTTACTATAAGATATAATATATATCTTAGTATAAATTTTATAGTAGGTATATATAGTATAGGTCTATATATAGTTAAATTTTTATAGAAAAATATTAAGGTTTTACTTAGTTATTTAAGAAAAATAAGTTAATTTTTATTAATTTTTATTACTAAGAGAAGGTAACTAGCTTACTTATATAACTAGCTTACTTATAAAGTATATTATTAGAATTAGAAAAAGTATATAATAAAAGCTTCTACTTTAATAAGTATCTATTATACTAAAAAGCTTAGAATTTTACTAAGAAGTAATATAAAGTTATAAAAAAAGCTACTAAAATTATATAAAATAATATTATAAAAGTATAAGCTATATAGACGCTCTAGATAAATAAAAAGTACTAAGAGTCTAATTTTACTATAGATAAACTTATCTATATTAAACCTTATAGCTTTTTAATAAATTAGTCTAGTATAAAGCTAAACTAGTAGATATATAGCTTTTATCTAATTATTACTATAAAAAATTACTATTTCTAGCTCTAGCTACTTACTTATATATAAATATATAATATTTTTTATACTAATAAATTATAAAAAGTTTTAGAATAATTACTAGAATAAGTAAAGCTAGAGTAGCTATTTATTAAGATTAATAGTAATTCTAAGTAGTCTATATAGAAAATTCTAGATAGCTATATTTATTAAAGTTAACTTTAATACTAAGCTATATAGATTACTTATAATCTAGACTCTATCTAGTATAATACTACTAGCTTTATTAATACTCTCTATAAAGTAAAAAACTTTTATATAGTTTATCTAGAAAAGCTAGATTCTTTATTATAGTTAAACGTTTAGATTAAAATATATAAAAAAAAGAAAACTCTATAGAAAATAGAGAAGAATTTAAAACTTATAGAGATAGAAGATAAGAAAGTAATATAAAAGTATTACTAAGTAGAGCTAAGAGTAATTTAGTAATAGAGTTAATAGCTAGAATAATCTTAGAGATATACTATAAAGCTTAGAAATAAGCTTTTTCTATAAGATAGAGTAATATAATAGTTTAACTTAGCTTTAACTTAGTACTTTAGCTTAACTTAGCTTTATCTAAGTTATATAACTCTATTTAGTATCTTAGTACTCTATACTCTATATATATAAAGTCTTTTAGAGTATTCTTCTACTTTTTATCTTTAGATAGCTAAATTTAACCTAACCTACTCTACTAGTATCTTTTATTCTTATAGCTTATAGAGATAGTACTACCTATAGCTAACCTATCTAGCTAGGTATTCTAGAAGCGCTTATAGTAGTAGAGACTATAAACCTAGCTCTTATAAGAGAGAGAAGACTCTATAGAAGATAGAGAAGAATTTAAAATTTATACGAGTAGAAGAGAATAAGAGAATAACACGTAAGCGTTACTAAGAAAGAAGAGTCTTAGGGCTTAGAAACGAGCCCTCTCTATAAGGGGGGGTGATGTGACGGTCTGACTTAGTGCTTCGGTCTGACTTGGTGCTTCGGTCCGACTCGGTGCTTCGGCCCGACTCGGCTCCGCCTAAGTCACATGACCCTGCCTAGCGCCTTGGCATAGGCACCCTGTGTATATAGAGAGCTCTTGGAGCATCCTTCTGCTCCTCACCTTTGGATAGCTGAATTTGACCCAACCTACCCTGCTAGCACCCCTTATCCTTACAGCTCGTGGAGACCGTGCTGCCTGCAGCCGACTTACCCAGCTAGGTGTTCCAGGGGCGCTTACAGCAGTGGAGACCGCGGACCCAGCCCTTACATTATCAAACTCTTACCACCTTATTCTCTCTGTGCACTACCAACCATGGCCAACCCTGCTCTCGATTCGCAGCCTGACTTCGTCGCTATGGCTGATGCTGCTCTCGGTCCGCAGCCTGAGTTCGCCGTCATGGCGGCCGGTTGCGAGGAGACGGCCAACACTTTCACCAACATGGCGGCACAAATTCGAAACTGCCAGAATTTGCCGATTCTGCAACGCCACAACGAGATCGCGACTACGTTCCAGGGCATTTTCGAACTACTGAATCGCATCGAGGAGCGGCTCGGGCGCGTTGAGGAGCGGGTGGAGCGCGTTGAGGAGCGGGTGGACCGCGTTGAGGAGCGGGTGGACCGCGTTGAGAAGCGGGTGGAGGACGTTGAGGAGTGGGTGGAGGGTGTTGAGAAGTGGGTGGAGCGTGGGTTCCGTCGTGTTGAGGTGCAGTACGTGAAGAATACCCTTTCGAACCCTCGCAGACATGGTAGCTAACATAAAACCCACATAGCCAGCTGAATAACCAAGCGCGCCTTGAGAACAGCCACGTTATCGCCAGCAACATCCCTGAGGACCTCATACCGCTCTATTCGTTAACTGCGGCCGATGCCCAACCACAAGTTATCCTAGACTTCCCCTCCCGCATTGACGACATTAGCCAGATGGACGGCGGACGAGTTAACGAGTTGCTCTGTCATTTGGAGCAGAGTACTAGCGGCGACCTAGCCCAGCGCAGGACGAGGCTCAAGAGGGCGGTGGGGGGGTTTATTCGCTACGATAGCTCGGTTGTGAGGGTCTAAGCTCTGCGGCATACTTACTGGCGTTTGGGGCGAGGTATTGTTTGTTAGCACTAGCATTGGGCTAGAGTTAGGGATTTGCATGCGGTGGCTACGGAAGCCGACTGGCGAAAGAGGGGCCTCTTTAGGTAATTCACTCCAATAGCATTGGGTACGGACCACATGGTCTATGCAAACCTTTGGCGCCTGCACAGATATCATCGTGAGACGAGCAGTCTGGATTTGGATAGATGTTGGCACAGATTGTGTTGGCGGAAGCCGCCATACGGCACCTGGCAGGAGGACTGGAATGTATTGTTTACTGTTGAGGATCACGTGTTGATCACGTGATCGCGCTAGCCTAGTAGCCGGAGCTTTCAACTCTCATACAATCAACAATGTTACACTCCACTTCGTTACTTCAACAGATTACGCGGATCTAGAAGTACAAGAAAGGATTAGCGTGAGGAGCTGACGAGGAGCGCCGATGTTATTCCGAGCCAATCTCTTGTTCTGCGCGTTGTCTACCTTTCCCCTCCTCCCTTGAACTCCTCCCTACCTACTAACTGTCTATCCTTATGAATCATAAAGCAAACTGACAGAGCCGATATCGTCCGCCAGGGACTTCGCATGGACCAGGCTCTCACGCGCCACTCTCACGCGCCACTCTCACGATGGCTGTGCCCTTCGATGCGATCGCGCAGAACCCCATAGGTAATGGACTGGATGAGCCCCGTGACGCGTTGAAACCAATTTGTAACAAGATGGGGATATGTGGCTTTCCCAACTTGCGAGAGAATGCTGCGCTTCTCGAGGCATCTTCAGGTATGGTCCCCATCTCTTTTTGTCTGTTTAGCCCGCTAATCCACTAGGCGTGAGGGATTTGATTGTTCGCCTCATTTTCTCCCTGCAAAGCCTACCCGCTGCCGAAACCCTTCGTTCTAGAACAAGCCGGGGGAGCCTCCGTGCAGTGGTCTCAAGCGATTTTGACTTCGAACCGGTCATCCCTCTGCTTGAAGAACTCTGAAGGCATGGGGACGATCATAAAGTTTGGAACAAAGTCTACGACGCCGTTACCGAGTCGACCCCACCTCCCCGTCCTCCCTCGTCCATCCTACAAACGCCATGGCTGCTCAACACGAGCAGCTTCGCAAACTCCACCGAACACCGCAAATACGTAGATGACGTGCTGAAGGAGGAGCTGGGACCTATGTACGTTGGGGTCCCCGGTTTCTTCTAAGCCTTCTTCGGAGAAGTCACGGACCTCGAGCCGGCAGCGCAGGCCGTGTTCAAAAGGTGCAAAGAAGGGGATAACCCGCTCTACCGAGAGGAGAGCGGTTGGCAAGGCTGGCCTGAGGGAGCGAGGGAGCGAGATATCCTGAGCCATGCGAATATGAACCGTCGCTCGCTGCGGCGGAAGGACAGCATGGAGCAATCGTACGCCAACGCGCTCGTTCACCATCCCGTCCTCCATTCATCCAACACCGACTCAAGCACCTCCTCCGCACAATCCCGGAAGTTCAAGTCGAAGCGGGCAACGAGTCCGGCCAAGACCCGCAGCGATTTGCAGCTCTTGAACAAGCCGGTCAAACACGGCGTCATAGATGCGGAGCGGAACGACCTGCCAGAGGACATACGCGTGCTCATCGAGGATCTCCAGGCGCTGTGCGAGAACGTGGGCATATACCGCCAAAGATACTGGTAAGATGGTTGACTCAAAGGGGATACCCGGACAGGATCGCATCCCTGGCGCGAAGAAGCGCTCCCGTTGGACGTACACGACAGGTCGCGACGACCTCGACCTCATGATTGAACTGGATGCGATGAAGGGGGTGCAAGCCGCGGCTATTTCGCTGTCCACCACCGGGGACCATGAGCCGCAGTGGTATTGCTCGGTGCAGTGGCCGCTCTTGGACATGGCTTTCCGTCACTAGTCTCACATGGAGCCCAAGCAGATGTACGTACTTTTCCACACCCGACATCAGTTGCTGATTGGGGTCGCGCACGCTCGCGGAGGTCTTGGCGGTCTTTCCAGAGGACGTCGTAGCAGTATCGATCGGCGAGGGAGGATGGTTAGGGCGAGGCATGATGTCCGGCCGTTTGTGTGACCGTTTGTTTGGCCGTTCGTCTGGCTGTCGGTCGGACCGTCTCCGTTTCCGCGAACGCGACCGCGAGGACTCTGTCAACCAATCCTCGAGGTACTGTTCTTTATCTATTGGCTGGCCGCGCTGCAGTGCGTCAATGGCTTCGACACGTCGTTGGCGCTTTGCAGCTCTGGAGTTAGCGACAGGCAATTTCTTAGGGAGGGGGGCCGAGGGATACGAACAGCTCGCCGGTACCTCTGCGTCCCAGGGCAGAGGTCGTTTCTTTCGCGATGGCCCTCCGGAGCCGGAGTCAAGCTTTTGGACTGGTGCGGGCATGTCGGGCGGTACGAAGGGAGCGTTGGCGGTGGTTATGTAGAGTCGGTGGTTGTGAGACGATTGGCGGTGAGCGGCTGCACGGTTTTCCCACGGCGGGGCACGAGGAACGCCAAGCGGTTTCAAGAAAAGACCAACACCGGCATGCTGGCCTGCCCCCAGTTCGGGCGTTTCCGTCTCCGTGCCACCCCGGCGAGCCAAGGCGCGCTTAGGTGCGTGAAGACGAAGCCCATCACAGCGCTATACTTGGAATGCCCGAAACAGAACAGCGCTACGGCTCACCGGTTCTCGGCCCGCTGACATATATGCTTCCCGCATCTCCTATATCAGAGTGATTATAGATAAGTCGCAGAGCACCACCATCGAGTCTCTGGTGGATCCAGCCTCCCGGTACACAAGCCAACTCGCGCTTCTGCTATCCCTCTTCCTTCTGTTCTGAGCGAGAAAATGGCAGATCCTACAGCCAAAGCGACTGTCTGGTCAGAAACACCCACCAGACGCTATCTCACCACCCCCGCAAGCTTTATCAAAGTCGCAATACCTCCTTCCAATATGGACGAATGGAACAAGGCGCCCCTGAACGAGGCGCGCCTTTTGAACGAGCGTGCTGCTCTCGACTTCATTTCCACACATACCACAATTCCGGTGCCCAAGGTCCTATCTTCTGGCAGAAACAAGGATGGCCAAGTGTATCTTGAGACAGAGTGGATTGACGGCACTTCATGCGACAATGCCGAAAACCAGTGCCGGATGCCAGCAGGCCAGAAGCATAACGATGGGGGAATATGCTATACTTGCGGGGAAATAGCAATGAGCAATGTCGCACGGTTCATTGAGAACCAGGTGCTGCCTCAGCTTAATTCCCTTCGCTCGACTACGGCGGGGTTTCAGGGCAACATTATACCGCCGCCATTGGTCCTAGAGGACGACAAGAGACTGGAGTGGGTATCAAAGGGGACGGAGAAGAGGGATCGTGTCTTCTGTCACGGCGACCTAATCTACCACAACGTTTTGGTTCACCGGAAGACTCTGCAACCTGTCGCACTTATCGATTAGGAGCATGCTAGTTACTTCGTTCCTGAGCTTCAGATGTGGTTTAGATCACGAAAAGAGTACAATAACCTGTACAACAACAAGGAGCAAATGCGCAAGATAACGGCCCTTGTTAAGGCCTAGCGGTATTTAGCTGCAATGTGAACCACATGAGTTCTTGAAGTCACACATGAGAAGCGAGTCGCCATGTTCATCGCGTGAAGAAACGATTGTATTTGCGGATTAATCATAAGTCGTAAGCAGGCCGTCAAATCTCAATTTGCCCGTAAATCTCTCGCGCACAAACAGTAGGGGCAGACACTGCTATCAAAGCAGACATAGCGTGAAGAAAATAATGAAGCTACCCAAGCGAGAGTCTCGTCCGGCAACTCAAACCAAGCCCTAGTCAATTCCCCAACAAAACACACATTGCCCCCGAGGTGCAATTGACGGCAGGGACATATTGGAGTCGTTTGGAAGGTAACTCAGTGTTTAGGTGACTGAGGGCCGCATCCTCCGGCGTTGTCGCACTCTTGAAACGCCGGTGTTCGACCCTTCTTTTATAATTGAGAATAGAGCTTCCGGCAACAGCATGGAGCTCTCTGCCGTGAACTCTCTTAAGATTCATACAGCTCTTCTGCATGTTAAATTAAGTCTTGCATCGCATACGCATGTGAGCCCACTTTGCCCGCCAGAGGGTGCAGTGCGTTTGCAGTGGACTGATATGGAGACCCAGTCGCCTTGTGCAGGATTACGCCCGCCGAAAAACAATCAATTAATATGCCAGCTTCCGTAGCGTCCAAGAAAATTCATCTACTAACGCTGAGCGCGCTTGATCGAATTGTTCAGCTGATAGGGTGCTCTTTGATGTTCCCGTTCCGACGTTTCGGCAGCTTTCGAGCCCTGGTCGGCGAGTTGCGCTAAATTTAGGAGGGAAGTTTAGGGGAGAAGTTTAAGAGGGAAGTTTAGGAGGGAAATTTAAAAGAGAAATTTGGGAGGGACATTTGGGAAGGAAATTTGGGAGGGAAATTTGGTTGCGGGAGCGTGCGGGAGGATCTTGCGAGGGATCAGCGTATCATGCGCGTTCGTTCCCCGGCGGCTACCGGCTCAAGGTTTTCCGGTCGACTGCGCTCACACGCTGCTGCAATTCGAAAGCTGTGGATCTCTGGAAGCCCCAAGCGTCCAAGGTGCGGTAGCGACACCGAAGAATTGCCTATCTATAGCGTTTCGGCAGTTGGAGCACTCGAATAACGCGCTGGTATGCGTGACCATACGGATGGTGTCTCGATGACGATATCGAATCGAGAAACGGAGAGTGGCAAGATAACTCTGTTTTTGGGGGACTGGCATGCGTTCAGGACCATGAAGAAACTTTACGCTTAATACCAAACATCAATCCTATTCTTCTACCACTAGGCCCTCTTCGAGTAAAAGACTGGTACCCCTCCTCACAAGTGCTTGACCATTGCACGTTGTAATCACTCGAACAGGCTTCTGTTCTTCTCCAGTCTTGTAAACTTTAATCGTACACTGCTTCCAGTATATCATCTGCCCTGACCCAACAACTGTCACGCCCGTGGGTGCATCGTTAAAAAATTCGTCATTTTTGGTGAGAGTCTCTCGTTCAAGCGACTAAAAGTATGTCAGACGAGTCTCCATTGCACGGGGAGGATAGCACACCATCGGGATCTGGTATATAAAGACAATAACTACCCAAACAACTGGTTGGGGTGGTTGACGTCGTTCTTTCTTAGAGTAGCAGTACGCTAGAGATTTTCGAGTGTTCGTTGTCTAGAGAAGCGGAAATCGAGCGGTCGTTCTAGTCTTCGTGAAAGTATGGCATATCGAGGAGTAGAAGCTAAGCTTTGGGCATCGACTTCGACTCACAGTGTCGAGAGCCTGATGTCGTGTTGGGCACAATGGAAGTGCTCGCTTAATTGGACGGAAGGATGGAACGTGGAACGTGGAAAGGCTGGAGAGGTTGCGAAGAGGGGTGTGGAACGTGGAAAGGCTGGAGAGGTTGCGAAGAGGAGTGTGGATCGCAGGTGGGGCATTCTAGAATCTTGGCAAAGAAAATTTAAGAAGAGAGCAGGGATGTTCTTACAGGGGTAGTCTGACAGGGAGATTTGGGGAGGAAGTTTGGGAAGGAAGTTTAGGGAGAAAGTTTTAGAACTAAGTTTAGACAGGAGCGGAAACTATAATGTCTCTTGGCCGTGAAAATGCTTCGAAGAAGTTAGTTTAAGAGAGTTAGTTACTATTGTTCGCACCATCGTTAGGATTTTTCTAGCTTCTAATTAGGTAACTAGTAAGGTGTTTATATCGCAACGCAGAAGAGGTATGCTTAAAGTCTATTAGGTTTTTAACTTAGCGCCTAACGTACTTTATCAGCGAAAGTCCTACGATTTCTTAGCACGGAAAATTAATAAAACTTAACGAGCTTTTCTTAAATAACTAAGCGAAACCTTAATATTTTTCTATTAAAATTTATATATATATTCTCTATAGTATATTACACCTTATAGCAAAGTTATACTAAGATATATTACGTAATTAAAAAGCTATACGTATTTAACTAACTTTTAAGAAAAAATCTAGTTTTCTTCTAGTAAGTACTATTATATCTCTATAATAATATATTAAACTTATAGTATATATTATTTATAACCTAATAAAGGTTTCTAGAAAACTTCTATAGCGCTAGCTCTTCTAGGTATAGCGTAATAATAAGAAATAGAAGTTAGAAAATTTTATTCTTAGAGCTTTCTTCTTCTAACTATATATATATAGTTAATATAGCTCTATAAACTTATTATTTTATATATTATAGTTAGTTTTAACTATATAGAGCTTATTAACTAATAATATACTAGCTTTAAGTAGTTATTTAAAAGTAAAGTCTTTTTAGTAGTATAGTATAGAAAGATAGAAAGATACTAAAACTATCTTAAAATTATTACTTCTAAATATATAGCAGGCTTATACTATATATAATCTTATAATATATAACTTTATATAGCTAGATTATTAATATATATATATAGTTAGAGAAGAAAACTCTAGAAAGATTTTTTTAAACTTCTACTTCTTATTACGCTATACTTAGAAGAGCTAGCGCTATAGAAGTTTTTTAGAAACCTTTATTAGGTTATAAATACTATATACTATAAGTCTTTTAGATTATTATAGAGATATAATAGTACTAACTAGAAGTAAACTAGATTTTTCTTAAAAGTTACCTAAATATGTATAGCTTTTAATTACGTAGTATATCTAAGTACAACTTTAATATAAGGTGTAATATGCTATAAAGAATATATATATAAATTTTTATAGAAAAATATTAAGGTTTCGCTTAGTTATTTAAGAAAAGCTTGTTGAGTTTCGTTGATTTTCCGTGCCAAGAAATCGTGGGGCGTTTAGTGGTGTAGGACGTTCGGTGGTAAAGTACGTTACTGCTTAAAAGCGTCTGGAAGTGACTTACAGCTCACCGATGAAATGGTGGCATCCGGGTCCGAAAAAGTGGCATTCGAGTCTTTTTTCGAGCTGAAGCCACATGTGTGGTAGTGTATCAAATACAGTGATAGATGGGGAATTATTACGCCAAGCAGTGGTAAGGCGGTCTTTCGCCGGTTCCTGTGGCTATTCAAGCTTATGGCTGTGCTAATATCGCCACACTAATCGGTACCTCGGCTAGGGCAATTTCGCCGGACATTTGCCACGTAACAGAGCTGCTCCTGCGATGGCCGCAACGCCTCCATTGACAACGCCAACGCCAGCACTCTACTTTCCCGCTCACTCAAATTCTCTTGTAACGAAACCGTCAATCTAATGGCTATTAGCGACACGTCATGTCGTGTCGCTATATACGTCAAGGTCACTAATATCGAGGGCAATCCCCTTAGCAGACACGTTACTCTAGGGCAAGCGTTCTGTTCTAGCGTGCTCTCGCGAGACTTCCGTAACCAAATTCAACCCGACGGGTACGATGCTTGCCACATCCCTGCGAACTTCGACTCTGATAAGGGCGTCTCTGTCTATTTTCTCTTCGACATAGGTGTTAAGGGGCTGTTACCTGAGGACGACCTGTTATCGATTCCACACTTTGTCTATCTCGCTAGTCGGGCACAGGGGGATTGGTAAGGAATCGGTGCAAGCTTATGCAAAACTAGATTATTAATTAATTACTAGGAACTTTATTCCTCGTCCAAGAGCTATCGAAAAAGCCAAGCAGAGAGCGCGGAAATATCCTTGGGGAGGCAAAGTGGAGCAGGAGATGTTCGCAGAGCTCCTTAATCAAGGCGTCTCCGGAGGGATCTCCCGTTTACACTCTGGGCAGTTTGTGTCAGGTTCGTCCTCCTGAAGAACATGATCATGGGTCCTTTGATCTTCTGGGCAACTTTGTCCCCTTGCAATCGCTACTGGACACTGGGCGATATGTTTGATGCGAGTAGGTTCATCACCTAAACTGGCATGCCAGGCGGAGCACGCGAACATGGCTCGTACGTTCTGACACATCTTAGGGCAGTCGTTAACGATACCTTTTGCGTTGGTTCGACAAATAGTATACCTCGTCCTCGCTTTCGAAACGTCTTCTAGGTATAACGGTGCCTAGCTGTCGGTCCTAGTGCTATTCGATAGAGATAAAGCCTGGAGGAATGTTGGAGGGAGACGCTGGAAGAATATACAGGGACGAACGGAGTTACGCTTATAAGCGGAGCGGCGCGGAAGAGAAACAAAGGATAGGGATTCGCGATAGCTGTAAGCGTATACGCTTAACGACTATACACGCTTTGCAGCAGCAGCTTGCCGTTACCAGCGAGCTCTAGCGCTAGCTCGACCAGCGGCTAGATCACGACCTAACACTAGGTATTCTTATCGCGCCCCCTCGTCTTGCACGTCCTCGCGCGCTGGTATATCTGCTTCACCTTTTTTAGTGTGTATTGTAGCTCCTCGCGGAGAGGAGGATCGCACTCAGAGAGGTTGCGAGGGGAGTCGATAAAGGCATGTCGATCGAAGGTCTGAACGCCGAGTGCGTTGTCGGATATGATCGCTTCCTGCAGACTGGGTGTCAGTTCTGTTGTTAGACAAGTTCAGCACATGTGCGCACTCACCTGGAGGCATCGCGGCACCCAGCCATCGACCTGCCCCGGCTCGAGCCGCTCCATGGCGGCCATCACCTTGTCCCTGATAGCCCCATTAGCTGGATGCGCTTTCCCCCGGCATAATGCCTTCCTCGACTCGCTGGCGCTTCTCAGGGCTGGTTTGGCGGCGTCCGGCCATGGGCGCGGAGCTAGCGCGCTTGCGCTAGTGCTAATTCGCTTGGCAGAGGACGTCCGCTTATGGCCCGCCGTTCAATTCTGGTTTTCACACGCCAACCCACTTATGCCTTCGTTTCTGCCCTCAGGCTGAACTCCTTTCCTATGCCCCTAAAACGAAGTGGCTGTGGACGTCAATAAGTTCCCGTAAGCTAAACCCTCCTATGCGCCCACTCAGGCCTATCTCTAGAAACCCTTTTATTGTGCCACAACAGCACTGCTCAACTGTCAACACTTCCAGCTGTCCGTTGCAATGAAGAACAGTTCTACAGTTGAGAACCCCCGTTCGAACCCCGAGCAGACTTCGAGAGTCTTGACCAGAAGCTGGCGTTACTGGAAACAATTATTGGAATCAGCTACATCCATGAAAGATTATCCTGCTTCTTGCTTCGACATTGGCGTACTCCTAAACCAGACTCCTCCAATACCCAATAACCCAAAAATCAAAGAGGAGGAAGTTAGCGGCAACCTTTACTTAAAAGGCAACGCAGAGTGGGACATTGGCGGCCGCAGTGGCTGTAGCCTGGAACGCACAACAAAGTACTCCCGTCTTCAAAAAATTCCCATCGGCTCTTCGGAACCGCACTTTTGCCAGCTCTCCAACCAAGCATCTCCCCAACGGTGTCGTAGACACCGCGATATAGGCAACCACCTCGCTCTCTTCGTCTTAGGATGGTCCTACGTCCTCTCTGCGCGGCTCGTCGAATCATTTAGAAAATCAGTTGCAGACCACGTTACCTACACAGACAGCCGCGCAGCGGTGCGCGCGTCTTCCAAGGAAGCAACTGCTAATTCCCTCCCCATTCAGATGGGAAACCTGACTGCGGCCGAGCTCCGGTGGTGGTCAGCTATTCTCGCAGCTGGATGCGGGTGGCAGGCGATACTTTCCCGGTCACATCGCCAGTACTATCCGCCATGGTCCTGCCACCTATATCCGGAGCATCTTTTTGAGATCATCCATCCCGAAGCCGGGCATATCGACTGCCCTCCGCCAACCTCCAACGAAGCGCAGCAATATCTTGTTGCCTTTGCCAAATCAAACGACGCATACGACCAACTTTTAGCTGCGCTCGCAGCATCCTTAACCTTACCGACACATGGTAGATTCGGGGCTCCTATTGAATTGCCTCATCCAAAGTCTGGGTTTGCTCAGCGTGTCATGGACGCCGCTAAGCAAAGTACAGATGAGAGCCATATCCCCCATTACATGGCACTAAGCTGCATACCAAGCATCATATCCTCCACCCTGCTTGGATGCTTCTGGGAGCCAGGGATAGAATGTGACCTCGCTAGCGAATGGCTGTATCCTGCTCAGGAGTTGATGCAATTAATTAGTGAAGAGAAAAGGTCTAAGGTCATTGTCAAGATGATGGCGCTCCATCGGCCCAGTTCAGCACCTCTGTGGTTAGGTGCAGGGATCACTGGCTTAATACCAAGTCTACTGCGTGTAGCAATGAAGCATTTGCCATCAACGTCTCTCGAAGCAACGATCTGGGTCAGATCTCTCCAGTCATTCATGGACCCGCGGTTCCATCGCCCGCCACCGAAGTTCAACGACTTGGAAGGACGAACACACATCTATCGTGAGGACGAATTCCGCCTCCTCTATATCACGGACGTGGAGTCTCGACGATACGCTTCGCCCCCATTGAGTCCTTGGCCGCCTTTCGGGACAGTGGACATTACTACAACAAACTTAGAAGTGCAGCTACATCTCAATTGTGCTCATCGATTGCTTTACAAGCAGTGGAACTGGCAATTAGAAGATGGAAAAGCTCTACTCGATCCAGGGGTTCCAACGCCAATGTGCGATTCCTTACAGAAAGAGAGGGGATTAGCGGGTCAGCTTTCTTCTCGCGCAACACGTCTCTGGAATAACCTGCGTACTTCTCAAAGAATGGTGGAGAACGGCGCCTATAATAGAAGTACATCACAGTCTGCAACGCGAGCCATCTTTCAATGGACGTTAGTAGACGGGATCAGACCAGATGACAAAAAGTTGTGGACACACGAATGGCTCAGAGATCTTTTGGAGGATGAATCTGGCGATGACGACGGAGAGATAGATAACGAGGGGTCAGAATGAAATCATTGTTTGGATGCAATCCGCGTCCACGATTCAATGATTACTCTCATTCAAACGAATCCAGCCGCCTGGTTCAGTGCCACCGGGCCCGCAGTCCTTGCACAGCCTCTATTGTCCGCCGACTTTACAGATCTTCCATTTCTTTCTACATCCATGTGCACTGCACGTTTCGTATTGGTGCTCGTTATTGAGATGATCGCATAGGGTGCAGGTGCCCTTTTGCCCAGATCCGGTGGAGAGCTTGGCTACATTTAATTGAATGTGTAGATGGGACTGGGATATCACTTACAGACATTCAAACAAGTCTTTACAATCGATGCTTGTTGGGGTGTTTTTGTACGTAGAAATCGACGGTGCTTGATTGTGCATGGTTTATGATGTGCTCAGTATTATCATAGATTCAAGGGCTTTGGCGATAACGGGTTGTAGGCTCTACTGTGGCGTGCTGCACGACCCTGCCTCTCTCAGGTTCGTTTAATGATGGGTGCCGTACACCACCCTACTTTGCTCTGCTTGGACTGCCTGGCTGGCTTGGTATGTGCTGGCGCCAGTGATGTTCATCGCCGATATTATGGCGGACTGCTTTGACGCTTGTCGCTCGATGCAGGCTGGTCTGTTGCCGTGTGCCGAGAGCAGTTACTTTGTAACCTCGCGAACTCCACGTCCGTCCAAGATTGCGATATTTCTGCGAAGCGCGCCTAGAAACAAAACCTACCAAGTACATCCTAGGACCGCTATATATGGCTGAACAGTCGCCCGATTACAAAAAGCTGTTTTTTGAGGAGCAACGTAGACGCGACGCCGCGGAGAGCGCACGGAGGGAGGAACAACGGAGACACCAAAGGGACCAATGGAACGGCCTCGTATTAATATGTGTATTGCCAGCGCATACCTGCATTAACTAACTGACATCGCGTTGATGTCGCTCACAGCATTGAGGGAATGCCTCTCATTTGGAAATCGAATTAATCTAGCCTCCAACCACGCGGGTTGAGCTGGACTGTAGGATGAATCTACGACTAATGAGCTTGCACACCTTGGTCTTTGGAGAGTTGCAAAGACTAGTTGCCTGATATTGAATGGCGAACTAAATCCCACCCCAAGAAGGTGCATAAGTTAGCTCTCCCACTTATACCGAGCCACTGCAGTCTTCTTTCGAGCTGTAATTGTAATATCTCTGTCTTTTCACCCACTATTTGGATGCTTCTCGGTTACCTGTTATTCCGTTATGTGCACATTCGACACTACTGTCGCCATAAAGAAAAAAACAGCAAAAAGAAACCCGAAGGCCCAGAAAACCCCTATAGAATTTTACTGTACTATGGTGACGACCATACTCGAACTCCGAACTAGGTCAGTCCTAAAGGTTTGGCGCTCTATGGGCTGCGGCTTAAACGGAAGGGCAGTCAGACTTCCCAATCCGCGGCGCTGTCCCGGCGAGTCCAACAGCTGCTGACGTAGTTCGTTTGTTGAAGAATGTACTCTTTTGTTTAATATATATACAACAATTAATTTAGATTGCGTGTGCGAGGGCGCACGTGGGGTGAGGTGAGGTAACGGTGTTGGCCAAATAGGCAGGCGCGCGACCGACCACTCCACGACCCGGGCAGCGTGTGACTCACGCACGCGCGCCCACCCTTAACAATTAGTTGAATTTTCCTTCTTCTCTTTATCATTCCGCTTTCTCTACCGTCCCTTCACCTCGATTAGAAACTTTCGGTTTATTATACAAAGACCCTTTACAACCCCTGCAAGACCGCTAAGGAAAGGAAAGAGGCTTGCGAGTCTGGAAGCGAGAACTCGAGAACGACAAACCAATGGTGCTATAAGGACGGTTGTGGTCGGAAACCTGGACTGCGTCGAGAAGGGCCTGGTTAGTGCAGCCTAATCTTTTCTATTGCGGTGCAGGAGATATTACTGATGGTGGATTTGAGAACTCAGCGGTTGATTGGGATGAATTTAAAGAGTGAAACACCGATACATGAGGCTGAAACGGGATCAAAGACACAGGAGTCATTTATTGTCAACCAGACCATCAATCGAAGCGACAGCTTGGGAGAGTCGATCGCAAATGGCAGCGAGAGAGATACAACCACGGGTCCTTTCAACATCTTGAGCAATTGGAAACAACGATAGCTTCTCTTCTTCCTTGCCACCATTGTTTATAGCCTTGACTATCAAGGCTAGAATCTTACCTAGTGCCCACGTATCGCCCTGCAGCAATTCCCAGCTTTCTGAACACCTATCTAGTGATTTAAATAGTTCTAGTAGTAACTACTTATTAGTAGTGCCTCTAATGCTGCTAACGTTGATAATAATAGCATTCAATTCTTTGCTCATAACCACGTTCTTTGGCTTAAGATCCATGTGTGTCACTCCCATCTGATGCATAAATGCTAAAGCCGTTAAGATATCAAACGCCCATCGTAACTACTATAACGAGCTATGCATCTAAGGCTCTAGATATTGCAATGCATCGTGCAGGGTACCGTTTGGATAATATTCGAGAAGGATTCCGCGAAGGACAAGTGGTGGCGTCCCGGATTCCCTTGATTGATATGGACTTCTGGATATCACCGCAGCAACGAGCTGCACGATCCGCTTGCTACCATGAAACAGCTCCAGATTTCGCAACTCTTGCTCGAGAACCTTGGCATCGTGTGGAAAATAGATGAGCCTGTCCACGCCTTTGTACACGTATTGGCGTTCATCACCTGAGATGCGCGCTGTATTGAAAATACCCTTGCCAGTTGCTGCCTAAATCGATGCACCATACGTCCTATCTGCGTTAGTTTCAACCGAATATAATTAACCAAAGACGAGGAAGGCACTTGAGGCTTGAGCTGACAGGTGCATGCCCCGGGGGATTAGGCTGCTGCCTTCTCGAGTCGTTACGAGATGGGAGATGGTTAGGTTGTTGCGCGAAGAGCAGCGATGCGGCTGTCCAAAAGGGTGGCGTCGAGAAGCAGCGCAGCAAACTGCCTAGACCTCAACAGGAGCCGCCGAGCACCCCGCATCATGCCGGAGGAGGCCCTGGACGCAGTCGACGCCGACGCAGAGCCCGCTTCCAGCACGCTCTCCCCCTCCTTGTAGTCGGCAAATGGTGGTGAAGGCGGCGACGTCACTGAGATGGGATGACATACGGGGTCGTACTTGCTGGTGAGAGAGGCTGGAAGGGGGACTTGACGACGTCGTAGCGCGGCATGAGGCGGAGGCTCAATTGGTGACAGGAGGGGTTGAAGGTGGAGATGGTTTACCCTGTATGTTGGACCGTGAGGATGAGGAAGGTGGAGCTGGATGTGATTGCCGGAGGTAGATCTGGAGAGGGGGATGGTTGGTAGGTTGAAGTCGTTTTGGTGAATATTTCCAGCCACGGCGACGAGGACGCGTGCATTAGGACCTTGTGGCCGTAGGGAGCCGGGGAAAAGATGCGGGGCCACGTCACTTGCAAAAGAACAGAAGGAGATTATTCAGTGAAGCAGTGAACGCGCATATTGATGGGTATATCCAAGAAAAAAGGCCGAAGCCGATATCCAAGTAGCAATGATGAAGCGATGCGAAAGCACTCTCTGTGTAAATGCGAACCCTTCTTCTCCGAGACCAATCACGATGCCTACTCTTCTTCCCCAATCACCTTCTCCATGAACCAGGGCAGGAAGACCTCCTCCGACCACACCGAAACCAGGTACCGTATCGCCGCCAGCAATCGATAACACCCAGCGATCGTCGCAGTATTGCCAATAGGCTCCGGATGCTTGATGAAGTACACCATGTCTTCAGTATCCACCGCCCACTGCAGCTCCCACACATGTCCATATACGATGATGCCTGGCAATGGCGTGCATACTGTTCCTGGTCTTGTGAACCGAGAGATCCCCACCTGCCATGCCGTTGTCCACATCGCAAGCTTGAAGTTCGCATCCGGCTCGTCGTTGTAGCCCTTTTTGGTCTCGATGGAGAGGAAAGCTGGCTGGTAGCGGAGGTAGGAGGTCTGATTGATCGTCCGCTGTTCGTCGTCGTCGTCAGGTTCGTCGCGGAGGAGGGCTCGGATATTCCCCTTGAATGCGGAGGAGGGTATGTGGGTAATGGCGAAGTCAACGACCTTGGGGTCCTTGAGATCGTCCTTGAAGGCGGGGGCGAATGCTTTGATAGGCTTTGCGGTGGTCCTGCGGGCGATGAGTATGTTGCTGCATGTCGGAATGGAGAAGAAGCTGTGTCAATGACGTACACGTTGTGGGATTCGTACTGGTCTTCGTAAGGCTTCAAGGCGCGGTCGAGAATCTTCTGATGAATCTTTGAATTCCAACCCGCCTCGTGGGCTTCGGCCCAGTATTTCACCGTGGTGTCCCGCACCTCACACACGTCCTCGAAGTCGCGATTTTCGAGCCTAATGCTTTCGCGCGATGTAGATACCGGTGTCGGGGATAGCATGGAAGGACGCAGCCGTTCTTCTTCTTCGAACTGTGCCTGCAAGCGGTTAGTATGACCATCGCATTGCCCTGCAGGTGACGAACTTCAATGGAGCGCGGTATGATACCGATGTTGGCGCAAATATCTTCTAACGCATCCCAATGAGGGCGTAGCACCTCCGGTATTGGGCGCTCCTCGTTCACGAATCCAACGGATATGGGCTTGTCAAATATGTGCATGTCATCCAAACTCTTGACCGGGCTAGGGTTCCGACTCTTACTCTTGCCCTTCCGGGATGGTGATGTCGTGGCATTGGACTTTGCAGGCTCGTTGACCACATGTTCCATTGATGCCAGCTCGTCCCCATATCGTGACTCCGAGTATTGCGATGTACTTGGTGACAGCACGAGATTTCCTGTAGCCTCAATCGATGTAACACGACCAGAAGCAACAGCCAGGGGTTTTTGCCCTCTTGCGTTCCGTGGTCTCCCGCGCGGTCTCCTTTCTCTCTCGACATTTTGTGGTTGTTGTGGCCCGGCGCTCGCCTTCCGGCTACCTGCTGTTCGGCCTGATCGTCCGCTCGGTTGATGGCTCGGTTGTCTCGGTTCTCGCTCGGGGCTGTTCAGGGGATCAGGACTATCGGGGGGGCTCAGACGAGGCATGTTCGCTGTGGTCTCGTGCAGCGCACGACGCCTGCTTGGACGTTGTTGTTGTAATGCTTGGGCTTGTGGGCGGAGTCTTTTCCGAGCGGAGACTCCGGGTTCGGCTTTGACGGCGGGAGTAGTAATATGAGCGTCGCTATATTCCTGGAGTGCGCGGCGCTTTGGAGGACGCGGTTGTGGATCTTGGACGCAAGGGCGTTGTTTTTGGCGGGCGGAGGGGGATGATACACGGCGTGTTTGGTTTTCGGGCTCGGAGGCGGCGGCGGCGGCAGCAATGTCGCCGAGCCAGGCGGAGATGACACGCGGGGGAAGGGGCATGAAAAAGATACAAACGATCAATTGTGAAGCAATAGATGGCGGCGTTGGTGGTGGGTGGACGATGCAGATGTTGTTGCGATCGGCAGCTGAGTCTCGTTGCCGGGCCAAAGCGGGGACGTGCATCCGGAACCGGAACTTGGAGCCCCTGCTAGCTTCCGTTCTGGGCCCGCATGCTTCCCGTTTTCGAACCCTGTCCGTTCCGGGTCATCGCACGTACCATGCGCATCACAACATTCACTTGTGGCGGTTGACGGCGGTCACGTGCATGATTAGTCAGATCCGATATACGCCCTTTCACGCGCGTGCGACGGTCAATACTACATGGAAGGTGGCAAAGCTACGCTCTGGGAGAGACTCAAGTGGTGCAAAGATGTTGCTCAGGTCCTTAGCTACGTTCATGGGAAAAACGTCCGGCATGCGGATCTATCCGGGCGAAATATCCTAATTAATGCGGAGAAGGGGATTCTGCTATGTGATTTTGCTGGCTCGTTTATCGACGACGAGAGGGCAACTATTATGGCGGAGGATGGCTACCGACACCCCAACAAGGACGAATACACAACGCCCACGATCCGCTGCGAGATCCACACCCTTGGATCGACCATGTACGAGATTATTACAGGTAAGGAGCCTCATCATGGACTAGAAAAGGAAGCCGTCGCCAAGCTTCTAGAAGAAGGACAATACCCCGACGTGAGCAATATTTCTCTTGGAGACGTCATCCGAAGGTGTTGGGAGGGAGGCTTTGATTCTGTGGCTGAAGTCGCGGAAGAGATCGCAAGGTACGGTATGTATCTTTAGTGCACCCCAGGCGACAAAGAAACAGTGCTGACTGCCGTGGTACCAGAAGCAAAGCATCATATTAAGGGCGGAACACTGGAGACATCTCCAACCCGTCACGCCAACGCTCAACCATAGAAAATTCTGGAGCTCCACAGCCCTCGCAGAGCCTCATTCACTTGGGCCCACACAAAGTGTCAAATTGCTGTCTGCCCAGGATAAAAGGAACGTGTCCGACGGCTCCCAACCCTGAAGAGGCGGGTACAGAGGGCTTCTTTGGAGTAAAAGCGAGGGTGCTGCATACGTATATGCCTGCAATGCTATCGTGGCACCTGCGGGCCCTCTCATATCCTTGCTGAGCATTTGCGAACTTTCGGTGATAGGCTGTGCCTAGCTAATCAGCGAAACAAGCCAGAGCGGAGACGGCGAGACGGAGACACCGAGTACTCGAGCGGCGGCCGACGTGCATCGGGATCGGCTCCAGGTGCTGAAGGTCCATATGCATGCAGCGACTCTGACTCCATGTGCTTCGGCCAACGCACACGATGGAAATGCGCGTCCTAGCGGACGCCTTACCCGTTCAATTGCGTGACGAGGTGGTCATTGTCTGCACGTGACGCTAGAAATATTCGATGGTGGTGCATGAAAATGCCATTGCGAGGTATTGGCGACTTCTCCACTGGTCCAAGTCGACTCGTCCGCCGTGGCCGGCAAGTAACTCATGAGAAGGCTTCGAAAAAATATTGGGTAACCAGCGGAGGATCTATGATACCACCTTCCAAGGTCGTCAACGCTGCTCGGGTACACGACTTCAACTTCAGCCGAGTCAGCAATCAAGCGCTTGTTGGATTCAATTAGGATGCGGGGAGGCGGTGGAACGGTCGCTGCCGTACCGGAGCAGGCGGCGGGACAAGACCAATTCGAACGCGACGTCTAATGGCGACAAGACAGCGACCCTCGCGGGAGACTGTTGGGTTGTTGGTGTCTGAGGCCCGTCAACGCCGACGGGCGGCACCGACGCCATTGGATCATCTGCAACCACCCTCCGAGCCCTGCGCCTGGGATCAAGTCAGCTCACTCTCCGCCACCCGAGCCCGAGCGACTGGGACGAAAGTGAACTGGGAGTGACGTCTTCGTGAGAGCTCATCGCACCTCGGGTTACCTTGAGGAAATACAGACCACAGACCACAAGGCCATCAAACCCCGTCACATCCTCGCGTTAAGAGAAGCACTACCGTGACATCCTGGTCTGGGTACTCGATGCAGCAGCGTGGTTTGGCCACTCAACGCCCCCCGGGGGGTCCGGTAGTTGAGCCGCAGGACTCCACCGAAAGTCGGCAAATCTCGACACAACAGCAGCGCGGCTAACGGGGTGAAGCTGGGCCCGCACACCTGCTCCCCCTCGATTTCCAGGAGGACGTCGACACAAAAGACGTGCGCCATCGGTAACCCACCACCTATGCCTTTTCTCTTCGTGGGGTGTGTCCATATATAACTGCTCCCCCTGGTGTGTGTCCATATATAGAGGGCGAACTGTCTTGCCTTTTGGGGGGCAGTGTCATGGTGGGGGATTAGAGACGATGAGGTACACCTGTTCGTTCGTACGTCCATCCATCCACCGCGATGTCTTGTCGGTATTCTACCATCACCAACACCTCTTCTCTTCATCCCTGCCCGGCGGTCGGCCGCGCTCCCTCTAGCGCTCGAGGGTCTCCGGCGATGAGACGAAATAGTCTATATATGCACGCAGAAGATTATGACAATGCATACACGCACGCCTTGCGAGCCGCAGAGAGTACGAAAGAGACCCAATCGTAGGAGCAGCCCTGCCTCAAACCCAATACTAAAGGGAGCTATGAGAGCTGCCAGGTGGCCGGAGATAATAACCTCGTCTTCGAACGCCCCGCCCTTATTCTCCTTTCAATCAACATCGACGTAACCAGCATGAGCTTGGGAGGTGGAGTCACCGTCTTTAGCGCGCCAGAGCTAACCAGCTCACCCATCGCTATCAGCGCGTCCATGAGCCTACCGACCACCACAGCACCGATGGCGCCGCAGCTGGCAACTCTAGACAACCAGATCATGGGGCTCCTCTACACAGATATCACCCCTACGTCCGTGACCGCGGAGCTGGGCAGCCCCGAGGACAACTGGTGGGACATGGTTAGTAGCACTCCCAACGGATCGTTCTCCAGCTGCGACAGCGCGACCACAGGCTGGCCGTACCCGACAGTCTCCCACTCGGCACCACACGCGGCCACAGCCATGCACCAACCCGTGACTTTGGTGCCCAAGGGCGACTACCACTACAATTTTGCCGGGTGCGACGGGGCGTTCAAGCGGAAAGAGCACCTCAAGCGGGACGTCAGCAGGTGAGCTTGTTCCCACAAAGTCTCTCACATATGTTTGCACTGCTGCTTCCCATGCTTTCAAGACACCACGACCAAGACTGACTCGGGCTCTTGGGAAATCACAGCAAGCACCAGAAGAAGACGAATGAGTGGAGGTGCCAGGCCGGGGACTGCAACAAGACGTTTAGCCGCAGCGACAACTGGCGGCAGCACCTTAAGCGGCATGCCGAGGGCACGCACCCGCGCACCCCCTTCTCGCAGTGGGCCGTTGACGAGCTCGAGATCAAGAGGGGTCGGATGGGGCGCAGGAAGTTTGCCAGGAAAACTGCACATTTTGACGAGACGTAACTAAATATATTGTTCGCGCACCGTGGGATGCGTTCTGCGTTGGCCTTCTGCGTGTCTGTTACTGGATCTTTGCCTGGGATGCTGTGGCCAAAGTTGTACGTCGCTATCGCCACACCTGCTTCTAGGTGGGCGCATACGGCCACCTCCCCACCCCAAACCTCGAGAAAGGGTTCATTGTGGCTCTGGCAGGGATCTTGCAGATTTGCCGACTTTCGGTGGAGACCTGCGGCTCAACCGCCGGACCCGCGGGGCCGTTTAGTAGCCAAACCACGCTGCTGCATCGAGCCCTAGGCTAGGATGTCGCAGCAGTGCTTCTCCTGACGCGAGTAGTGCCGGTCAGGGCTTTGATTGAACCCGGAAATACAGTTGAGGACAAGAGAGGAGGATCGCCAGCTCAGTACGGCCGAATCGCCCGGTCCACGACTGGAAGTCGAGATCGTACGGTCGAAGCCGGTATTTTAGAATAGGACATGAATTGGCATCGGGGCATGTCCGGATCGCCGGCGCCTCCGCCGCTCTGCCGATGCGCCGAGATTCTTAGGCGAAGGCTTCTTCTGCACCGGACGGGCGTTTAAACTTCTTCCAGTCCGACCTCCCGTGTGCCGCCATTTAGAGTAACACTTTGTCCATGGTAACCCTTCATCCGTCTGTGTCATCTTCGTTACCGTGACTCTAATCCCCATTTCTTCTAACCTACCCACTCCGCAGCTGGAGAACAGAGACCTTGCTAGTTACTCCATCTCGCTTTCTTCGCCATGCCGTATTTCTGGCCGCTTCTCGCTCGGGTTCTCGATGCAGAGTTCATCGAGCTTCCGCGCTACGGCACGCCGAAGTTACCTTAATCGACTGCCCCTTCCCCAAGACTCTCGAAGGCTCGACAGAGACTTTATCTTGAACTGGCTAGAGTCTCGTCAGCAGAGAACCGGCAGCACTTGCCCCGCAGTCGGTCAATTGAGTCCATCATCTCAACGCTATATCCAGAACTATACTTAAATCGGCCGCAGGAAGGGCGATGTCTGAGTATCTACTTGGACGGCCAAATATACGAACATGCAGTTTCGCTTCCACTCCTATGGAATCAATCGACGACACCCAGTCCCACGGGAGAGCCAACCTGTCCGAGACTTGCGTACATATGCCGGAGCCAGCTGGAGCACAGCCGACCTCGAGGTTCAATGCCATCTAATGCCGACCACGAACCCTACTTTCTAGGAGCACTCCTTGCCATGGCGCAGGCTCATTTCTATGCCGGTGCGGACTTCCCCGACTCGACCTGCGCCATCGTATTTGACTATGTTCGAGTCCAGCTCCTCACGAACGTCATTAGCGAAACCGACTTTATCGTATACGATGTATTGTTCTCCCGTTAACTTCTTAAGGCCGCGCCGCGCAGCTGTAGATGCCAACAAATTACCCGTGGGGCTTCCGGCTGCACCTTTCCGAATCGGGATGGATTGTGGACGCCACCAAAACCCACCCTAATCAGGCTAGCCCAGATATGCAGTCATGTCGTTCCACGTCTTCCTCCACGAAGGCGTCGATCTGGCTGTGTATGAGACGCATAAAGGCGGCGAGTTCGACCAAACTAACGTCATAGCGCACCCCGTCGTCACCGCCATTACCCCCATCGGCATAGACCATATCGCTACTCTCGGACCGTCCATCGAAAACATTGCATGGCATAAGGCTGGCGTCTTCGAGGTGGGAGCCGCCGCACTCTCGATATGCCGGGAGCCAGCCGTTGCTGAGGTGCTGAACGCCCGAGCTGCCGAAAAGGGAGTAATGCTGAAATTTGTCGGAGTCGACCACCAGCTGCCAGGTGACTTTGCTGCCCGGGTTCAGCGGCTCAACCGCTCACTGGCTCGAGAGGTTGCTGATGCCTTTCTTGCCAGGATGTCACCGGGGCAGAGACTCTCGCGTGAGGATATAGTGGAGGGTATGAGACAGTTTTCTTGGCCGGGACGGTTCCAAACAATCCACGATGGTCGCTGCACCTGGTTTCTGGACGGCGCACATAACGAGCTGAGCGTTCGCGAGGCGGCAGAATAGTTTCTCGAGGAATCTGCTAGAGCGCAGAAGTAAACTACATTGCCTTTTTTTTTCCTCCCTATGCCAACGGGACGTAGCCGATACGGCTCCTAGGGGTTCGGCGTTGCCGAGACGAGTTCTTGTCTTTGCCCAAGTGTCGCACGATCGTGACGTCGACTCAGTCCTGCGGCGTTTAGCTCAGTATATGCAACATAAAGTGCAAGAAGTCATCTTTACGGTTGGGAAGTATGACTCATATGGTACGGATGTCGGAGTACAATCGCCAAGCTTCCTAATCGGGCACTAGCGCCACTGGCGCCACAGAGATTTCTTCGATTTCTCGGAGCTATATACACTCAATACAATACACTCACCACCCACATGCTGTATTCCTCAATTGCCTACTTCAACAACGGAGTCCGCCTTGCAGCCCCAGAACCGCCTTACGTCAAACTCGTATGGTCCAGCCGAGTCGTTGAGTGAAGAGAGCACTATAATCACCAGGTATGCGGAAATCTGGCAGGAGTTAGAACCGCAGGCCCGAGTATCGATTTCGGCTACCACCAAGGACGCTGTGGAGCGAGCCAGGATGTCGGCCGGCTCAGCCAACAACACGCATGTCTTGGTCACGGGGAGCCTCCGACTGGTCGGTAACGTCTTTCAGATTCTCGGGGTAGCGGTAGCTAGCTAGAGCCAAAGCTAGCGGGTACAAGGTTCGGACCGCGCTTGGGCATCATCCTCAACCGGCCCTGGTCTTCCTCCATCGAGCCAACGATGTCGGGCCAGATTGACCCGTGACCCGTGAAGTAATACTGGCGGCCAGTCCTGAAGTAGAGCGTTCTTGCTAGCTCGGCCAATTCTCCTGCTTCTGGATAGCCCAGCTGGTACGCGATCTGACTCTTCGAATACAAGACCATCACGACCGAGTATCCATCGTCGGCCCAGCAGCTCCTAGCGGTCGCAAGTGCCCGCTCCCACATGCGGTAGGCCGAAACAAGGTCGCCTTCAACGTGGAGGACCATGGCGTAGCCGGCCAGGACGACGAAGTGGTTGTGCATACCCGGCTTACTGCGTTGCACGGGGACGTAGGTGGTCTCAAGCCATGTGAAGTGGAGCCTCGCCATCTTCAGCGAGGTCAGGTCGACCTTTTTGCTTTCCCACGTCCAGAGGGCCTTCATGAGATATGCATTCGCAAGAGCCAACCTGAGTCGCTTAGCCGCTCCAGCATCGGCCGCGTGCAGGCCCAGTAACGTATTCAGGTCGCTTTCCAATATCCCGATTGCTTCGCTAGCGTTCCCGAGCTCGCACTTGATATCACATATATGTGACATCATCTTCCATACAATTCGACTGCCAGTCTTCCGAGCCTCCTCGAAGAGGGCCTCGAAGCTCTTATTCGATTCTTCGAGCTTGCCCTCGAAGCGCAATGCCTTTGCCACGAGAAACTGGCCTTCGATAAGAGTGAGCTGCTCCAGGGTGGATGGCTTTGCATTATCCAGGGGGCGAAAGCGGCCGACAGCATCGCGGATATCTTCACTCGGGGCCTGGTTGTCGACCATAAGCTGGACTTCGAGCATGACTAATTTTCCAAACCATGCATTAGAGCGCTGGTCATAAATGCCGAACATTTCGGCGACCCCCTCTAAAGTGGGCGGAGACGACGCTTGTTTCGCGGCGCTCTGGTACAGTCTGGAGAGAGATACCTTTCGCAAGGCTACGCTGGCGAGGATCGAGGCGTCATTAAGGTAACGAGCCGACGCCTCAGCCAAATATACACATATCCATTTCCAGGCGGCCGACCTAAAGTGCGATGCGGACAAGGCGGCGATGGCCAGTCGGCGGAGAAGCGATCGATCCGCAAGGATAGCCGCTTCCAACTCCCAGATGGTTGACAAGACGAGGTCAAAGTGGGACAGCATCGAGAGCGCCTTGGAGGTGTAGCTTTGTTCGCAGTCAGCGGCTGGGCGGAGGTTGGACATGGGGGCATTACTCACAAGACAGGATCAAGGTAGCCATCTCCTGGGTAAGCATGAAGAACCGCCTTTGCGACCTCCAGCTTCCACCATGCTTGGTTCTCGGTGGTCGCCCGAATGTGTCCCACGAGTGTAGGGTGAACGGAATAGTGCTGCTGGGACATTCTCTTGTAGGGGTTGATGATGCCGTGCTGGACAAGATTGCGCAGCGCTTCGTCGTACCGCTGCGGGCTGCTGAGGACAGCGATCAGGTTCGACGAAGAGGTCTCTTCGATCTCTCCATTGGAGCCCCAGGCCGTGGGCCGACAGGCACCCAGGAGCAGGCAGGCGGGAACCGAGCCGCCGGCGAAGACGACCAGTCGCGCCAGGTCGCTAGAATCGTCGTCCCGGAGCCCGGCGAAGATGGTAGGCAGCTCCGGTCGAACTACCAGGACGGCGTCTCTCCGTCCGCCGGCGAGGAGACCATACTCAGTCGCCACACGCAGCAGATCGGGATGGAGCAGCTCGTCGCGGCGTTCGCTGACGAAGGCGACGAGCCTAGCCCGCTGCGTGGAGTTCATATACCGCGTGCTAGTGACCGGGGGCCAGACGATGAGCAGGGCATGAGCAGGGCTGACCAGCGCCGAGACCAGCCAGAGCAGCTCGTGGTCTCGATTTCTCGTTTGCGTCCACGGCTGTAGCAGACGGTTGATATGCGAGGTGAGCTGGTACTCCTGCTGGCACCAAATTGAACCCTTGTCGTCCTTTAGCTGCCTCTTCGCCTTCGCGAGCAAGACGTTACATTGAGTCACGTCAATCTCCGAGTCCCCGGAGCGCCGTCGAAGCTCGTCCGTAAGAACTGCCTTGGCCATCTCGCACTCCACAATGGCTTGCCGGATATCGCCCTGGCCGATGCTGGAGAGGCATTGGCTGTCGATCCAGGACCAGGCGCCTTTGCCGGGAAAGGAGATTTTCAGCCTCGTCACCATGGCTTTAGACGATTCATGATAAAATAATGGGACCGAACGAGCTTAGAGGATCAATGAGGTGGTCATTTCGCTCGAGCCCGCATTGACAGAGCACGACGCGGCGCGGGGTCGCGCACTGGCAGGTGCTGGGAGTGGCCCATCCGCGCTGATTTTGCACTCAGCAGCAGCGGAATCTGCGTTGCAGCTATTCAGTCACATTTCAGCATCCTGCGAAGCTATTATCGCCATACCTCGGCCGAGTCTCTATCCATACTCGCGCCTTCTTCGAGATCTCCCCATTCGCTCGTTAGCTCCCCAATGTACGCGCTCCTTTTCGACGCGCATGCTCCAATGGAGCTCTCCGCGACCCGTACCAACGGGACCGACGGGGGCTTGCCGAGGCGGAGGAGGTTTAACTCTGGCCGGTAGAGGGGGAAAAAAATTAAATATCCACATGTAGGCGCGGTCGGTACCACAGGCGATTCAAATGCGGGACCCAGCAGCCACCTACGCTGGTAAATGGGTTGGGGGTACCCCGAGGTTGGGTTTTGGTTGGGTCGGGGTCGCACGGGCTCAGGGTTGTGGTTGGGTTGGAGTAGTTAAAGCTTGGGGTTGTGGTTAGGTTAGAGTGGTTAAAGCTTAGATTAGAGTTAGATTAGAGGTACTTACTAGAGTTACTTAGAAGTTATTTAGAATATACGTATAATTATTATAGCTAATATAGTTTACTACTAAATACTCTATACTACTAAACGTCTTATAATTTCTTAGTAAGAAAAATTAATAAGAATCTATAAGTATTTCTTAAGTAACTAAGTAAAATCTTAATATTTTTCTATAAAAATTTATATAATATACTTTATTATTAAAAGTCTTATATTATTAAAAGCCTTATATTATTAAAAGCCTTAAAAATACTAAGTCTTTACTAAATACTACTATCTCTATTATAAAGCTTTCTATAAATATCTAATTAACTTTAGATAAATTCTAGATATAGCTTATACTTTAGACTATTTAATAGAATCTAGAGCTAAGCTTATAGTATACTATAGCTCTCTATAATATACTATAGAAAAAAGTTTATAATTAATATAATAGAATTACTTTATAACGTAAAAAGATATCTAATTAAATAAAACTTATAAAGAATAAAGAGTAGGTAATAGTTAAGTATATACTTAACCTAGACGTATAAGAATTTATCTTTTAGCTTACTACTATTTAAGATATAGCTAATAAGCTACTTACTAAGTAAAATAGAAATACTATTAGTTAAATCTAGCTAAACTACTTTATTATATATTATTCTAAGCTTAAAATATAGCTTAATTATAAGTATAACTATTAGAGAGTAAAGTAAGAAGATTCTATAATTATTTAGATATAGTTTAATCTAGTAGGTAATATAAAGATAAAGTATAGTATTACTAATAAAAATATGTATAATTTTAATAAATCTAGCTTTATAATAAAAATAATATTATCTTAGATAGTAGTTACTAGCTCTAAGAGATAATTATAACTAAAGAGCTTTTAACTAGATAATTATAAGTAGATTTTAGTAATTATAATAGTAAAAGTAGTAGATAATATATAGATTCTACTATTTTTTATTATTATAAGTAAGAACTATCTTTTAGTATAGTATAAAGATAGCTAGCTATTATATAACTAGGTTATAGCTATCTCTAAAAGTAGCTAGATAATAAATAAAGTTAGTATTATATAGTTAAAGTACTTTAATATATAACGTACTTTATAAGCGAACCGCCTACACAAGCAAACCGCCCACGATTTCTTGGCAAGGAAAATTAACGAAAACTAACTCGTTTTTCTTAAATAACTAAGTAAAACCTTAATATTTTTCTATAAAAGTTTATATATATATTCTCTATAGTATATTACACCTTATACTAAAGTCGCACTAAGATATATTACGTAATTAAAAAGCTATACGTATTTAACTAACTTTTAAGAAAAAATCTAGTTTTCTTCTAGTAAGTACTATTATATCTCTATAATAATATATAAAACTTATAGTATATAGTATTTATAACGTAATAAAGGTTTCTAGAAAACTTCTATACTGCTAGCTCTTCTAGGTATAGCGTAATAAGAGATAGAAGTTAGAAAAATATCTTTTTTAGAGTTTTCTCTTCTAACTATATATATATATAGTTAATCTAGCTATATAAACTTATTATTTTATAAATTATAGTAGGCTTTAACTATATAGAGCTTATTAACTAATAATATAGTAGCTTTAAGTAGTTATTTAAAAGTAAAGCCTTTTTAGTAGTATAGTATAGAAAGAGAGAAAAATACTAAAACTATTTTAAAATTATTACTTCTAAATATATAGAAAGCTTGTAGTATATATAGTCTTATAATATATAACTTTATATAGCTAGATTATTAATATATATATATAATTAGAGAATAAAACTCTAGAATAACTTTTTCTAACTTCTATCTCTTATTACGCTATACCTAGAAGAGCTAGCGCTATAGAAGTTTTCTAGAACTCTTTATTAAGTTATATACACTATATACTATAAGTTTTATAGATTATTATAGAGATATAATACTACTAACTAGAAGTAAACTAGATTTTTTCTTAAAAGTTAGTTAAATACGTATAGCTTTTTAATTACGTAATATATCTTAGTGCAACTTTAGTATAAGGTATAATATACTATAAAGAATATATATATAAATTTTTTAGAAAAATATTAAGGTTTCGCTTAGTTATTTAAGAAAAACGAGTTAATTTTCGTTAATTTTCCTTGCTAAGAAATCGTGGGGCGTTCAGTAGTGTAGGGCGTTTAGTAGTAAAGTACGTTATACTAAAGATTATATTATAGATATATATTATCTACTAATTTTAAATAGCTATAAAAGCTATAGCTTTATTAAATTCTAATAGTACTATAAGAAGAATAAAATTATAACTCTCTATATACTAGTATATTTATTATACCTTCTATAGCTACTTAATATTAGCTACTTTTTACTATTAAAGATAGTATATATCTACTAAGTTAAGATTCTAATATATAGCTATATTAACTACGTTATAAAAACTAAATTTCTATCTATATTTTATATAGCTTTTTATATATTAATTATAAATAATAATATTAGAGTAGAATTTAGAAATACTAGCTTAGTTCTATTTAATCTAGATTTAGTAGTATTAAAGCTTAAAGTTTAATTATATATACTAATACTTTTTACTAATAATACTACTATCTAGAAGTATAAAATACCTAGTAATTCTACTAAATTAAAGTTATAATTAACTCTAATTTAGAAAAAGATTATATAGTATTTTAATTTATTACTAACTTATATTATTAAGTTACTTAATTAGCTTAAGAAAGATAATATGCTAATAGTATATTAGCTAGTACTTATAGAGTCTAAAGTTATCTAGCTTTAAGTAGCTAATATATAGAAAAAGAAGTATAATTTATATAAAAAAAAGTAAATTTAGAAAAAGAATACTCTTATAATTAAAGCTAGCTTATAGCTAGTTACTTAAAGAGAAACTATAGATTAGAATAAAAGTAAGAAGTAGCGTAAAGAGGTAGTAGTATATAGTAGCTAGCTAGCTTAGTAATACTATAGTTACTATAGTAAGCTAGAGTATAATATATAAATATACTAGATAAGTTAGATAGCTTATCTAGATTTATCTTAAGTAGCTTAGAGTTAGAGTAATCTAATTAAGATAGTAGCTTTTTAGTAAGAGCTTAGTATTTTTAGAGTATTTAGTAATATAGAGTATTTATTAATAAAGTATATTATATTAGATTCTTAACTTAGTATCTATATACTATTTTTAATAGTAAGAAGTAGTTAATATTAAGTAGCTATAGAAGATATAATAAATATAGTAGTATATAGTTCTCTTTCTAGTATAAGAGTATAGTCGTAAATCGCTATAAGGTTAATAGCTAATTAACTCGTTAACATTAAGCCTTAAGAGAGCCGTGCGAGACTGCGATTCAGTAAGAGAAAGCCGTGCGAGGAGGATTCCAAGGGGGATAGAGGGGTGCAAGGATATCCGACCACTCAGCGTAGGCGCATCAAGCCTAGCGAGCAAAATTTCAGACTATGCCGGGGACCGTAAGCCGCGCCACTCACTAGCCACATACAGCCCCACCCTGCCACCGTGCGTCATCTGCAAAATAAAATATCTTCAGGAGCTTCACGTGAACGAGTCTCGCGACACACAAACCATGGCCCCCACAGCAGTCGTTGAAGTCGACCTCAAGGGCCAACTGCCGAAGATTGCGTCTGGCAAAGTGCGCGACCTTTTCGCCGTGGACGAAAACACGCTCCTATTCGTGACAAGCGACCGAATCTCCGCATACGATGTGGTTATGAAGAACGTAAGTTTGGCACCAAATGCGAACCAGCAGCATTGCTACGCAGGGCCGACCAGCAAATTAAGAAGACCCCATCCCCGCGAATGAGACTGACACTAATACCAGGGCATTCCACACAAAGGCGCTTTGCTCACAGCAATGAGGTAGAAGACAGCCCCCCCGGCGTTACGTTGACCCCGGCCGTTAACCAACAATAGCGTGTTCTGGTTCCATTACCTCCAAGACAAAATTCCGACGCTGAAAACGCACTTTCTCACCGACGCCCTTCCGGAAAGCCTCGAAACTTCGCTCGATCCGTCCCTCGTTGCCTTGCTCCGCCCGAGGAGCGTGCAAGTGCGGCGCTTGCACGTGGTGCCGATCGAATCCATCGTGCGCGGCTACATCGCAGGCTCCGCCTGGTCGGAATACAAGAAGCTAGGCGCGGTGAACGGGATAGCCCTGCAAGCCGGGTTGGTCGAGGGCCAGAAGCTCGACGCGCCGCTGTGGACGCCGAGCACGAAAGCGGAGGCGGGCATGAAGGACGAAAACATCAGTCCGGAGCGTGCCAGGGCGCTGATTGGTGACGGGAGAATCGCAAGGGAGATTGAGCGACTCAGCCTCGAGATTTATACCGCGGCAGCCAGCAGGGCAGAGGAAGTGGGCATCATCCTGGCGGACACAAAGCTCGAATTCGGGCTAGACGAAGCCGGCGACGTCGTCTTGGTGGACGAGGTCTTGACCTCGGACAGCAGCAGGTTCTGGCTGAAGGCGACGTGGGAGGAAAACCTTGGGCGGGCGCAGCCGAGCTTTGACAAGCAATACCTGCGCGACTGGCTGGTGTCGCAGGGGCTCAAGGGGAAGGGAAACGTAGTGATTCCGGAGGAGGTGGCTAGCCAGACGGCGGCCAGGTATCGCGAGGCATACCAGATGCTTACGGGAGGAGAGTTTAGAAGCAAGTAGTTGTTCGGCCTAAAGGTACATCCAGTCACGGAATGACTTTGCCTGGGTCCTACATCCCATCCCATCCCCCGTCGTCATCCTCGTCGTCATGCCTGGGCCTAGGGGACTTCAGCGTCCAATGCCCTCGGCCTTCCTAGTTGGTGTTGGGCCTCCCTGGACGCCTTTAATGCCCTCTCCACCCAACCTTCGCCATCGGCGTCGTCGGTGTGATACTCGTCGAACATGTCCGAGTACTTGTTGTGATCGATCTCTTTCTTGGCGTGGTCTTCTTGCGGAAGACGAGAAGAGACCGTCCACATTCGAAAGTCGGCGTCGCCATTAGGGTGCGCGGGGGCATCCGTGCCCTTATGAAGACCTGAAAATGAATGAGATACCAGAACATGACTATAGGGACATTAACAGGAACTGACCGACTTGCTCATCAAGCAAGTTCAAGCTAGGCTTTGTGACGAATCCGGAGGGATCACCCAAGCCCGCATACCTCCTCGGAGTATGCTCGGAGCGCCGCGCTGGATACATCTGAGATGGTTAGCGCCGTGCCAATTGAATTAAGTTTCGGGCAGCTTTACGTCCTGAACCAGGGTATCCTGGCCTTTGAGTGAGGTATATCCAAATGTCTCTCCAGTCTTGAGGCACTGAGGCATGTTAGCGGCTGTATAGGGAGATGGGAAAGGTCCATACATGTTGGTTGAATTCGGAGAGAACTTCTGCCTCAGAACGGTCGCTCATCTCCGTCTAAATTAGTCAGAAAAAATGTCAACTTTTTCTGTTACTAAGAGACTTACTCGGGCGAGCTTAGCCGCAAAGGCCCTGGCTCTCTCTGTGTGTCCCTGTATGATTGCCAAGCCGCCCTGTGGTACGTGCCGTTGACTAGTCCCCTCCTCTTGGACAACGCCTTGCTGGTAAACTCGGTCCGCAACCGGAACAGTAAAACCAGGGGAGTTTTTGTTGAAGAACTGCTGCCATGGGTTGAGTCCGGCTTTGAAGCCTCCAAAGGAATATCCAGGGTTGGCGGTGAGATTAGGTCGCGTGGAGATGAAGTTGCCCTTGGGACGCAGATCTGGAACGATGACGTCGTTGATGAGCTTCAAGCACTCGTCTAGATGCGTTAAAAATTCGAGGGCGTGGCTACAGGTTGGAGTGTCAGGCTGCCAGAAGTTGTGCGGCAACTTTCCCGCGTCCTGCAGCCTGTCGAGAAGGTGGAACCAAACGCTCTGCATGATGGGACTATCGTAGGCCGCGAACTCGGCGAAATAATCGATGAGATTGGCAGCACAGTCCCAGAAGGTCTCAAGGAACTTTGGGTCGCATTCCTTCAATCGCAATTCTGCCTAGGATTAGCTTTGATACTAGAATATTCGCTCCGGATACTTACTCTGGCCATCAGCAGTAGAGACAAGCTCGATGCGTCCTCGTCCCGGGTGATCTGGCAAAAGCCTGAGTGCTTTATAGATCTTTCCGAAATCTAACTCATTGCTCCCGTTGATGTATTTCAGAGGTGCTGGCGGCTTGACGTTCCAATCGTGCACCACGATGATTGGCGTGTCCATGTTTTCTGGGGACTGCGGGGTGGCTGAGTGGTGGCCAATGTTGTGCTTGAGCTGCCCCTTGTTTGTTGCGAGGTGAGTGTCGCGTTCGAAGGGCGGCTCGTTCGTCGCGGGCTGAGACGTCACGGTGACACGGACGGACCGAGTTTCTCCTGCAGTCTCTTTCAGAAATCGACGTGCTGTCGACCTCGCAAGAGGAGAGGAGGTGAGGTAGTGGAGTAAGAAGGTGTGCGGGCGAAAACTTTGTAGCCGCCCGCCCACAGGTGTACGCTGGTGAATGGGTTGGGGGTACCCAAGGTTGGGTTGAGGTTGGGTCGGGGTCGCACGGGCTCTGGGTTAGAGTTGGGTCGAGGTCGCACGGGCTCAGGGTTGTAGTTAGATTGGGGTAGTTAAAGCTTAGTGTTATAGTTAGGTTAGAGTAGTTAAAGCTTAGGTTATAGTTAGGTTAGAGTACCTACTAGAGTTACTTAGAAATTATTCGTATAATTAATTATAGCTACTAATTATAATCTAACCTAACTCTAACCTAAGCTTTAATAACTCTAATCTAACTCTAATCTAGAGTTTATATAATTTTAATCTAACTATAACTCTAAGCTAGTATTAAAAAGTTAGATTAGAGCTAGAGTTAGATTAAGATTTTATATATAATAATCTAATATACTTTAACGTACTTTATTATTAAACTACCTATATTATTAAACTACCTAAAAATGCTAAGCCTCTACTAAAAAGCCGCTATCTTAGTTAGATTACTCTAACTCTAAGCTACTTAA